TACCCTTTGCTCGCCCCTTCCTCGTAGACCAGGGCAGCTGTACAAGTGAACGTGTTCCTATATGTGGTAATACAAGAGAAGGGTGAAGTCTGATGTTGAATGGAGGTGTGAGAAGAAAGGGGGAGAGGTGGGAGAGAAGGAATAGGAGCATGGGAGGGGGAAGGGAAAGGGAGAAAGGGAAGGAGGGAGACAGGCATGCATACAGCAGGTGGGCGTGAGGGGCGGGCGTGAGGGGTGGGCGTGGGAGGCAGTACACCAGGCACTAATGAAACGCGCCAGGGGCCACAGGCGACACTGCCTCATTTGGTAAGCAATAAACACATTCCTTGTTAACTGTCGGTGCTGCTCCTTGGTGGAGGAGCCTATACTGTAGGCTCCCCCACACACCACGGAGGCTCCCCCACACACCACGGAGGCTCCCCCACACGCCACGGAGGCTCCCCCACACACCACGGAGGCTCCCCCACACACCACGGAGGCTCCCCCACACACCACGGAGGCTCCCCCACACACCACGGAGGCTCCCCCACACACCACGTAGGCTCCCCCACACACCACGGAGGCTCCCCCACACACCACGGAGGCTCCCCCACACACCACGGAGGCTCCCCCACACACCACGGAGGCTCCCCGTAGCGTGGTATCAACAAGAAGTGCGCCTTAAGAAGAGTGGTGAGGCGGTGACAGGTCCGGGGCACGAACCAGCCCCCACCAGTAATGTTCTTAGTTATTGCAACTCTTCTCTCCCTCTCTCCCTCCCTCCCTACTTCCCTCTCTCCCTCCCTCCCTACTTCCCTCTCTCCCTCCCTCCCTACTTCTCTCTACCCCTCCCTCCCTCCCTCCCGCCACCACCTGTCAGTTGAACAAGAGCCTCAATCGGTGTTCACTCGACCGTAATATCGGTAAACATGGGGGGTGGAGGTGGGGGGGGGGGTGGAGAGGGGACGTGGTAGGGGACTGTGAGGGGAGGGGAGGGGGAGTGTGGGGGGGGGGATTTAGAGAACAAAAGGAGGCAGAGCGGGAGGAATAGATGGAGGAGAGAGGAAGGGGGGGGGATGATGGGGTGCTGGTGTCTTGGGGGGAGGAGGGGGTAGGAGTGTGAAGGGATTTATGAGGAGTTCATCCTCCCCTTCCCTACCATCCCCTCACCCCCCCCCTCCCACCAGGAGGAGGTAATCTACTCACTGGGATCCAAGCCTCCCATAATACACGCTCCCTTGATGAAATATTCTCCCCCATAAACTCCCCATCCTAAGATAGGTAAATAAAGCAAATAATAATAATAATTATAAGCTGATGGGGACATCAGAACATGTATACACGCATGTGAGTGTGTGTGTGTATGGGACTTACACACACACACACTCAGTACACTGTGTATGTCTATACACGTCCATATATATGGTGAAATACACGTGAAGAAGCTACACCACCACCACCACCACCACCACCACCACCACAATCACCACCACTAGCACCACCAGCACCACCACAATCACCACCACTAGCACCACCACCACCACCACAATCACCACCACCACCACCACCACCACCACCACCACCACTAGCACCACCACAATCACCACCACCACCACCACCACCAGCACCACCACAATCACCACCACTAGCACCACCACCACCACCACAATCACCACCACCACCACCACCACCAGCACCGCCACAACCACCACCACCACCACCACCAGCACCACCACAACCACCACCTGGGCGACCAGGTCAAGAAGCTGACCAGACTCAGCTGACCCCAGCAGCTGGTTGTGAAGATGGTGGTCAGCTGGTCCTGGCCGGGCACTTACTGACGGTAATTATGTCTGAGGCAGTTGGGGGTAGTTAGAGCCAATCATTGACCTAATTATGGGGGCCAGATAGGACCCAAAACCAGTTATGACGTCATTAGTAATTACGGCCCCCTCACAGGACGATGAGGGAGTAGTGGTGGTGATGGAGGAGGGAGGGAGGGAGGGAGTGGTGGTGATGGAGGAGGGAGGGAGGGAGGGAGAGAGGGAGATAATCAGCAACTGAGGGATTAATTACGTCATCAGTAATATCTGAAGGCCTTCGAGAGGCAATTAGTCCTTCAGTGATGAGTTGATCTGTATCTCTATCTATTCCCCTCCCTCCCTCTCCCTCTCTCTCTCTCTCTCTCTCTCTCTCTCTCTCTCTCTCTCTCTCTCTTACACAGTTGTTTCAAACGAATTATTTTGATAATTACATGATTTACAGTCATGTGTTATTATAATCATATATATTGATATATATCCGCAGCTCTACTGGCGTGGTGAGACGCACATCCGGCCCCTGACGTCCGGAGTACTAGGAAAGGTTACACAAGTTCGTACACACACATGTCAGTATTTATGACCTAAAACAATGAACAATAACATATAATATCTTTCCACTCCGACTAATTACGATGGCAAGGTTTCTGTAACCCCCCGCAGGCTGGTCGACCAGGAATCCCACTCCCGGACCATACCTACCCACACCCAGGACCTTAACGGGTCCATATGGTCGACTTAGACCCCCTACCTATTCCACCACTGGACCCCTAACCGGGGTATATAATTCTGACATCCTAACTTTCTCTCTTCTCTTCCTCCTAACTCTCACCTCTCCTCACACACCAAGCTTGGCTGTGCACAGTCAAGTTCTCCTGTGTTGAGTGACTGATGGTGAGACTCTCCTGTGTTGAGTGACTGATGGTGAGACTCTCCCGTGTTGAGTGATTGATGGTGAGACTCTCCTGTGTTGAGTGATTGATGGTGAGACTCTCCTGTGTTGGTGATTGATGGTGAGACTCTCCTGTGTTGAGTGATTGATGGTGAGACTCTCCCGTGTTGAGTGATTGATGGTGAGACTCTCCTGTGTTGAGTGATTGATGGTGAGACTCTCCTGTGTTGGTGATTGATGGTGAGACTCTCCTGTGTTGAGTGATTGATGATGAGACTCTCCTGTGTTGAGTGATTGATGGTGAGACTCTCCTGTGTTGAGTGATTGATGGTGAGACTCTCCTGTGTTGGTGATTGATGGTGAGACTCTCCTGTGTTGAGTGATTGATGGTGAGACTCTCCTGTGTTGAGTGATTGATGGTGAGACTCTCCTGTGTTGAGTGATTGATGGTGAGACTCTCCTGTGTTGAGTGATTGATGGTGAGACTCTCCTGTGTTGGTGATTGATGGTGAGACTCTCCTGTGTTGAGTGATTGATGGTGAGACTCTCCTGTGTTGAGTGATTGATGGTGAGACTCTCCTGTGTTGAGTGATTGATGGTGAGACTCTCCTGTGTTGAGTGATTGATGGTGAGACTCTCCTATGTTGGTGATTGATGGTGAGACTCTCCTGTGTTGAGTGATTGATGGTGAGACTCTCCTGTGTTGAGTGATTGATGGTGAAACTCTCCTGTGTTCCAGGAATTTCAATAAAAGTGATGAGGAAGACCCTTCAGGGGCCCACAGCTCGACAATGTGATTACTTCCGCCAGAGAAACTTTGCTGCCATGGTTGAGGGGTATGGGCGGGCGTGGGCGGGCGTGGGCGGGCGTGGGCGTCGTGGGCGGACGTGGGCGGGGCGTGGGCGTGCCTGTACCGTGACAGGTGGAGGCCAGCAGGCGCCGCGGTGGTCAGAGTGGGCCGCTGGTGGCCGGAAAGGCGAGCATTACCTGTGAAATATGAAGAAGGAGTAATAACTGTTAAGTGAATATAAGGAGCGAGTAATACGTGCGCCGGGGACCACTCCGCCCGGGCCAGGGGCCTGGAGGCTCTAGCTGCCCGGGCCAGCAGCCTGGAGGCTCCAGGTGCCCGGGCCAGCAGCCTGGCGGCTCCAGCTGCCCGGGCCAGCAGCCTGGAGGCTCCAGGTGCCCGGGCCAGCAGCCTGGAGGCTCCAGGTGCCCGGGCCAGCAGCCTGGAGGCTCCAGGTGCCCGGGCCAGCAGCCTGGAGGCTCCAGGTGCCCGGGCCAGCAGCCTGGAGGCTCCAGGTGCCCGGGCCAGCAGCCTGGAGGCTCCAGGTGCCCCCGGGCCAGCAGCCTGGAGGCTCCAGGTGCCCCCGGGCCAGGGGCGTCCGTCAAGATAACCACAGACGTGTCCGGCCAGGACCCGTTTATGCTAACTTTATCCCCAGCCGCGGCCGCCTGCCGCCCATAAGCGGGAATTGGCCACGGCTGAGGAGGTTGGGGGGGGGGGGCCAGGCCACGGCTGAGGGGAAAAGCTTAGTCACGGTTCTCTCTTCCCCTTCCCCACCCCCCTTCAGCCTGACCTCTCTCTCTCTCTCTCTCTCTCTCTCTCTCTCTCTCTCTCTCTCTCTCTCTCTCTCTCTCTCTCTCTCTCTCTCTCTCTCTCTCTCTCTCTCTCTCAGCATAATGGAGGTTGAGGCACAGTTGACGAGAACAAATATTCACCTCGGCCATCAATCACAAAGTCTCCGGAGTGGGAGCTTTTAGCCCTGGATCTCACCTTGCACCTTACTTACTCTGGTGGGGAGGGCGGGGAGATGGGGGGGGGTGAGGGGTGATGGGGGAGGGTGGGGGGTAATGGGGAAGGGGAGTATAAAGTGAGGGAGGGGGTGTTGGGGGAGGTATATAAAAGTCAGATCAGACATGATCGTGGCATGAAAGATACGTGACCATAGACCAAGTCACACAGCTAACAGAGCACACTTGGGATCATCTCAGCCAAACTTGTAATAACAGATTTGTTATAAACAAAAATCGAGTGGTTTTGGCATCAAAGAACTGCATGACAGTTACGAAGTTGGGACCGGGAGCTGAAGTTCGGTCCCCGTGGCACAGACAGCTGGAACTACTCCAAGAACAGTCAGACGCTAACTTTAATACCACTAATTCCTAGAAACCGGTTTTACTACATAAGCGATAAAGGTGTGAAAATTATCACAATTGAATGACCGAGTTTTACGTGTGGTACAGTGTTCTGTGTGGTACATTGTTCTGTGTGGTACAATGTTCTGTGTGGTACAATGTTCTGTGTGGTACAATGTTCTGTGTGGTACAGTGGTTGTGTGGTACAGTGGTTGTGTGGTACAGTGGTTGTGTGGTACAATGTTCTGTGTGGTACAATGTTCTGTGTGGTACAATGTTCTGTGTGGCTAGTGTGAGGGTGGGCTAGTGTGAACATGCACTGCGAAGGAAGCAAAATACTGAACACAGCCTCCTGACCCCTGACCTTACAAGGTGCTCCTCTTAACGACCCCTCCCTCTCCCCTCTCTCCCCCCTCTCCCTCCCTCTCCCTCTCTCCCTCTCCCTCTCCCTCCCTCTCTCCCTCCCTCCCTCGTCCAGCAGGCCAGAGCTGGTCAGTAATTATCAGTATCGTAATAATCTGATAATGGTTGGGAGACTTAAAGAGAGACGGACCAAGAGTGACCGCAACCACTCTACAGGACCTGTGAGGGGGTGGTCCCATCACCAGACCTGTTGTGAGGGGGGATGGTCCCATCACCAGACCTATTGTGAGGGGGTGGTCCCATCACCAGACCTGTTGTGAGGGGGGATGGTCCCATCACCAGACCTATTGTGAGGGGGTGGTCCCATCACCAGACCTGTTGTGAGGGGGGATGGTCCCATCACCAGACCTATTGTGAGGGGGTGGTCCCATCACCAGACCTGTTGTGAGGGGGTGGTCCCATCACCAGACCTGTTGTGAGGGGGGGTGGTCCCATCACCAGACCTATTGTGAGGGGGTGGTCCCATCACCAGACCTGTTGTGAGGGGGGGTGGTCCAATCACCAGACCACAACCTAGTCCCAAACGTCTGGCGTCCAACCTCGAGTAAACAGTTATTTCCTTTTGTAGATACAGATATGCAATATTACGCAAATCTCAGTAAACTGCACCTGCCACAGGTAGAGCAGCATCCGTGGCCTTAGCAGCTGAGTGCCCCGGTGATACTGTGTTTGGGCTGCGTGAACTCTCCTCTCCGGAGCCTCTCTCCGGAGCCTCTTCCCGGAGCCTCTCCTATCCGGAGCCTCTCCCCGGAGCCTCTCTTGTATAATGAGGGAAGTTATAATGACACCAACCTGGCCTCAGCAGGTAAACACTGTCTAGGCACGTACTGGACACGGGTTAGCTTGTCCCGGGGCTGGGGATCTGGTCCTGGGTAAAGGGGGAAAGGGGATATGGTCCTGGGGAAGACGGGGGATCTGGCCACGACGGGTAAACACAGCTTAGACACGTCCCTGAGAGGGTGGGGGTTCCAAGGACGGGGGGAGACCCCATTGTCACGGCGACCCATCTCTAGAAACAGTTTTCTTCAGCTCTAATTGTGTCAGTAGAGTCATAGAGTGTCACTGTACGCAGGTACTCAGCTACGTGTACTCGCCTAAATGTTCCGGTGGACCTTCTTGATAGATCTGCGTCTCAGCTATCAGTAGTTCAAGCCAATGGGTCTTTTCACTCGGTCTTCTAGTCGGATTTTCTTGTAGAACAGTAAATTAAATTAGGATTTGGCCGGATCTTCAAATAATTCATTTCAGTTATTTATGGCCCTGTCAATGATGCTGGGGGTCACTGTGTTCGGGTCCATCGTGCTGGGGTTCACCTTGCTGGGGGCCACTGTGCTGGGGACCACTGTGCTGGGGACCACAGTGCTGGAGGCCACTGTGCTGAGGGCCACCGTGCTGGGGGCCACCGTGCTGAGGGTCACCGTGCTGAGGGCCACCGTACTGGGGTCCACCGTGCTGGGGCCCACCGTGCTGGGGTTCATCGTGCTGGGGGTTCAACGTGCTGGAGTCCACCGTGCTGGGGTCCACCGTGCTGGGGTCCACCGTGCTGAGGACCACCGTGCTGGGGGCCACCGTGCTGGGGACCACAACAACCACTACACCAACCATACAACATAAACCCCAGTATTTTACCAACAGCGCCAACATTAAGTAACATCAGACCTTACAAGCTCAACATTCGCGCCATCACCGGCCGTACACCGCCACGCCAGTATACCCCCAAGTCATTATTCCCGCCAAATATTCCCCCCAAGACTAATTTGGTTTACCGTGTAAACCAATTAACACGAACTACGCCAACATAGTTCAAATATTTCGTCAGAGTGTAGCCATCCATCGCGAAGTAGCGGTTGCTACTTCGCGGTTAGTACTGCTACTGCTACTTCGCCACAAAGTAGCCACGAACGATGATAATTCCGGTTAAGTTCCTCGCCAAATTACCACCATCGGCAATATATCCTTAAGCTAACTTGGCGCGCCAACATTGGCTAAGTTACCCCTCTCCCCGAGCGGTAATGTCTTCATAAACGTCCCCGCACGTTCAAACTTGCTGCGTAATTCCCCACAAACTTTAAGTTGGAGGAATAGAGCTACTCGGAGTTGTTTCTGGGCGAGGTAGAACTTTAAGTTGAATAAATCCATAGAGAGACGATTCTGGAGGTCGTCCAGTAGAACCATCCATGGAGGGGGCGAGCCTGGAGGTCGTCCAGCAGACGACCTCCAGGATCGATGGGCATTGACCGTGGGCATCGGGCACGAGCCCGATGCCCACGGACCACGAGCCTGGCCATCGAGATTTTATAATGTGTATGTGTGTGTGTGTCTCCTTTTTTTGGAGACTTGGAAATGGGCACCCTAGCTAGGGCAAGGCCTTCCTCTCCCTCTCTCTTCCTCCCTCAGCCTTTCCTTCCATCTCATCCTCTCAGCATTTCCCTCTCTCTCTTCCCCTGCCTTAGCTCTCTCTCTCTCTCTCTCTCTCTCTCTCTCTCTCTCTCTCTCTCTCTCTCCCTCCTGACTTTCAGTTCCATAATCCCTCACATAACAAGGGCCGTCGCTAAGCTGCCACCAACCTTAACTAGCGAATTAAGTTGGCCAATAACCCTCTTAGTGCTCATGGAGAGCGAGAGTTGTTGTTGTAGTTTCAGCTACTTGGGAACAAAAAGTTGCAAGTAGCACGGGCTATGGCGATCCCGTAGTGGACTTACCTGGCGCAGGAGCTGGGCTGTAACCTTTGAGAGCGCGCGAGAGTGAGAGTGAGAGAGATATAGTGTGTGAGTTTGTGTTTGGGAGAGGGGGGAGGGGGGGGGGGAAGCAACAAACAGGTCATTAGTCTCTAACGAGGCCAATAATCATTTCCTTAACAAAACAAATACAACTTTTACAGTACAATTAATTGCCAGTGTTACAAACTTGGTGGAACACAGTTACCAGGGCTTGTATTACCTAGCTGCGTGTTCTCAATAGTATTATGGCAGTGTGTTGTTGTTGGTGGTGGTAGTGGTGGTGATAGTGGTGATTGTGGGGGCTGGTGATGATAGTGGTGGTTGTGGGGGGGGGGGGTGGTGATTGTAATTGGGGATTATACTAAATGTACTCACATACATATAGTATCTAAGTACTAGTAGTGAATACATCGAGTGTGAGTACATGTATGTTCATTTACATACCACTTAACTCCCCCTCCCACCTTCCTCTTTCCAGATTGTAATTGGTTAGTGAAATGAATGTCTCCCTCGCGTGAAGCTGATCATATTTGTTTCTGAAGCTGAGTTCTGAAACTGAAACTTGTACACTGAGAGCAGTGTACACCACGTCTCATGTACACTAAGAGCAGTGTACACCACGTAAGATGAAGAAGCCTGAGGCAAGTGAGGCACAGAGGCGAGTAAAGTATTCATCATGCATGAGAGTAAGAAAAATGAAACCCTAAGAAGAGACAGTAAACTCCATCCAGAATTGTCACAAAATTATATGACAGGAAACATAGAGGTCTTGGGGATCCAGCACAGGCTCCACCGACGGCTGGACAGGCGTCGTCCAAGAGCTGAAGCTTGACCACCCCTTGCAGGCACAAGTATAAGTGAGCATACACACACACACTTCCACACACACACACACACACACACACACACACACACACACACACACACACACAGCAAGACCCATAATATTAATCTGAATAATTGAGCAGCCCCAAAACTGCACCTTCCTCCTACCAGACGTGGGTCTCTCTCTCTCTCATTCTCATTCTCTCTCTTTCATTCTCTCATTCTCTCATTCCCTGTCCCTCTTCCCTTCTTTTAATCTCTCTCCCCTCTAATCCTCCATTCCGTCGATGCCGCACTGGTCTCAAATCAATTTTAAATTTGATATTATTTATCTGTAGTGTTCACCATGTCAATGTTATGTTCAATTATTTTGCCTTTTGCTCTCCGTCTGTCTCCGTGTCTGTCTGTCTATTTGCCTACCCGTCTGCCTGTCTATTTTCTGACAGACGAACAATGGTATCAGCAAAGAGTATCTCACGGCGCTCAGCTTGACAGCCGGAAACAGAAGTATTTAATTACACGTAATTCTATATCCAATCAGAGATGAGTTTCCAATTTCTCAATGTCCAGTCGACCAATCACAGGTCATCTGAGGAGGCCATAGCCAGCCAATAGGGGATCTGGCTTCGACCTCTCTTCAGGCCTTAGAGAGAGTTGACACCTTTCCCCCCCTCTCGATTCTTTGATACTAATTATATCAAAAGGAAATACATTTGGCTTTCAGGTTTCAATCTGCAATTTTTAAAGAGTGGCCTTAATATCCTAGCAATGTACTCTCTCTCTCTCTCTCTCCCTCCCTCTCTCACTCTCGCTCTCTCTCTCTCTCTCTCTCTCTCTCTCTCTCTCTCTCTCTCTCTCTCTCTCTCTCTCTCTCTCTCTCTCTCTCTCTCTCTCTCTCTCTCTCCTCTCTCTTTCTCCTCGCTCTCTACTCTCCCCACATCATCCCAGCAGAGAAAAAGAGAGAGGAAGAGTTGACTGCACCATTCAACATTGGCCGGATGCCCCTGAGAGCGATCCGTTGTTGCTGTTTTAGATTTTAGCTACTCAGAACGAAATGTGCATGTAGCACGGGATATGGTGAGCCCGTAAGAGAGCGAACCGTAGAGCAGCGCCTAAATACGACCACACCGAAGTAGTGGTACGACCTGACGTGGCTGGTAGACGTCCCCGTAATATGGAGACGGATATGGAACCAGGACAAAGAGAGGGGGCAGGAACCAGGACAGAGAGGGGGCAGGAACCAGGACAGAGAGAGGGCAGGAACCAGGATAGAGACAGGGCAGGAACCAGGACAGAGAGAGGGCAGGAACCAGGATAGAGAGAGGGCAGGAACCAGGACAGAGAGAGGGCAGGAACCAGGATAGAGAGAGGGCAGGAACCAGGATAGAGAGAGGGCAGGAACCAGGATAGAGAGAGGGCAGGAACCAGGATAGAGAGAGGGCAGAACCAGGATAGAGAGAGGGCAGGAACCAGGACAGAGTCCTGGTTCCTGCCCTCTCTGTGCCAGTAAGAGTCCACGCTACACCGCAGGGCTCTGATGGCTGTTAGATTTCACCCCAAATAAATGTAAGGTTGTGAGAGTGGGAGAGAAGAGTACACAGTGAAGGAAAGGCTGCCTACAGAACATGAACAAGCTCATAATCAAGGAGCATAAAGCCAGTCTCCAGAGACATACATGAACAGAAACACATCAGCGGCGGATGAAAGGTCGCTGGTAAATATCAAAGTAATTTACAGAAATTTGGACAAGGGCGGTATTCAGGACACTGTACACCACCTACGTGAGACCAGTATTGGAGTAAGCAGCCCTGTACGTATTTTGTATAAAAAATATCAGAACGTGAGAACGCTCAGAGAATAGTTTTGAAATTATTCTTAGAACTGAGAATACTGGATTACGAGGAAAGGCTGATGAAACTGGATCTTATCACAACAGAAAACACGGGTAAGAGGACATGATCGCGATATACAAGATCCTTATGAGTATCATCAAACTTTATGAAGACGAAATAAGGAACCATGTCCTCACTCTAAGACAAGTAACAGGAAAGCAGCAGCAGCAGACAGTTGAGAGGCGGGACCAAAGAGCCAAAGCTCAACCCCCGCAAGCACAATTAGGTGAGTACAGTCCAGACTAATACCATACACAGGTTTATAACGTGATCTGGTTGCATCAGAAGACAACTGAAAAAAGTCGGGCCCAAGAGCTGACGTCTAACCTATATGCACAATGAGGCGGATAGACTTAAGCAAGTACCCAAGGGCCGTCCCCCCCCCCCCCTCCCCCCCTCAGTGCCTTCATGCACTCTCCTGCTGTGTTTAGTGCATGACAATACACTCCTGCCGGCACTCTCCTCGCTATTGTAACCTGCCATTTCTGCTCTCTAGCGAGTCCATTCAAACATTCCATCTCTCCCACTCCTAACTCTTGCAATTTTTAACTGGATGTTAGCAGGTTCTCATATTGAGAACTTGCTAACTTGCTTGAACATCGTATATGAGTGTGTGCGAGTGTGTGCGTGTGTGTGTGTGTGTGGTGGGTGTGGGTGTGTGTGTGCGAGTGTGTGCGTGTGTGTGTGCATGTGCGCGTGTGTGTGCGTGTGTGTGTGTGCGTGTGTGTGCGTGTGTGTGTGTGTGTGGTGTGGGTGTGTGTGTGCGTGTGTGTGTGTGTGTGTGTGTGTGGTGTGGGTGTGTGTGCGCATGTGTGTAGATCAACAGTTGAAAGCGACATGAAAACTTGAGCCGTAGATAAATCACAGGAATATTAGGAAGAACACCTTTTCGATGAGACATAGAGAACAACCCGAGCAGATTACAGGCGGAGAAAAAAAAAAACAAATTCATTAGCTTCAAAAACCCAGACACACGAGAGGAGCCAGGAGCTAAAGCTCAACCTTGAAAGCTCTCCCGCCCCTCAGGCACGAATGGCAGTCTCCTTAAGCAAGACATTTTCCCGTGCCACCGCGCACCCCGACAGTCACGTGTTCCCTGCCCCACTACAATCACCAATCACCAGTTTCTGAGTCTGGTCGCTGGGATGGGTTGGGTGAGGGGACCCTCAGGTAGGCGGAGACGCGCTTCACCCATCACCTCAGGAGGTAATGGGTGACTGGAGTGCTGTCTGTCTATCTGTTTGTGTCTCGGAGTGTTCACTGGCTCGTGTGTGTTTGGTCGCCAGGAGCTGTGGTCGCCCAGCTGTGTTTACAGGCTCCAGCGTGCGTTCCAAGACCCGCGTGTCTGCTGAAGGCCAACTCTGCCACAGAGACTCCAGAGGCTCTTCTCGCTTCTTATGTCTGCTTTTTCAACTATTTCCAGATGGCAAAAAGGAAAAAGAAAACGGAGGGAGGGGAGTTTGGGGAGAGAGCCTTCTGTTGGAGAGTGAGAGAGAGAGCCTTCCGCTCCTCACACTGCCCTAACACCACCTGATCATTGTATCCAGTGTTGCCAGGTGTACTGCTGATTACAGCAACTCTGGCGCCAGACTTGCACTCAGTATTGCCAACCGTAACTGCAACAATATGGAAAAAAAGGGGCAAGCAAGGTTGTCATGGCAGCCGCTTGATCATTCCTCAAACTATTCCTACATGCAGCCTCAACCCTAATTGTGTATGTCCGTGGTTAATATTTTATCAACGTGTGTGTGTGTGTGTATATATATATATATATATATATATATATATATATATATATATATATATATAT